GATAACCTAGTCTAATTGGTAAGGTTAAATCTACTCACCTCTTTTGTGCTGATGAGTCTCAACGTAGTCGACTCTAGCCTGGATGAGAATGCTTTCAGAGGGGCAAGATTGGTTAAAAGTCAACAACTTTATAAGGCTTACTTACATAATTTCGGTAAAGCCTATCGGCAATTCTTTAATCAGCTTAAGCGCTAAAGGGTTTCTAGACTTATTATTCACTTTTTTACCCAATACACTTAAGACTTGGGGATTTTTTACTTAATTGCTTACCAAAATGAGCTCAAATGCTGCCAGTAGTTCTCCGCCAAACCGTTCTTTCTTGAAGATCGGATACCACTGCAGCAGAGGTCTCCAGGTTTCTTGAAGATTAAGCTTCACCAGAGGCCGAATCTATATGAAAAAGATATTTGCATGGTCACATCTAGTCAATTAATCGTAGTTAACAATTAAGTAGACATGAGTAAGAGGGCATGTTGGCTTCTTCCAACAGCAAATAATAATGAAGATGGGCTTTGATTTTAAGTGTAAAACTACTAAAATTAAAATTCAGTGTTTTTCTGCTTCATTTCTTCAGTAGCTCATCCAAAATCAAGAACCAAGTAAATTGTCCAGCTGTTTATTTCACTGTTATTTTGATTCTATATAGGCTAGGCTTGGAACAGGCTCTTCGGGATCTCAGAAAGAAGGGTCGAGGACTTGTTCGTACAATCTAACTGTTTTAATCCAAGGCGCAACTCCTTCGGTTTCCCGCCAGACCATTTCATCAATTTATTTCAACCAAATTTTCAATAAAAATAGCTCACTGTGGGATCCTTTAAAAGTCAGTTTTTCTCCATAAAAGCAGAGTAATAAGAGTCAACAGGAAGACCCCTGCAGGGGCTCGATCAGCAATCGTAAGGTTTTCCTTTTGCTTATCTGGGCCTAAAATGTGAGGAATCTGGTCGAATAAATAAATATGCAGAAAGCCTCAAGCAGAGATTATACGATTTGGGAAATGGCGAGCCCAATTTACCTCACCCTCATTGAAAAAGAACATTTCGCAAAGAGTGGAGCTTGAATGTCAAGTCAGTCACCTTGGGTTCTTAGTACATAATTAGTCTCGTCTGAAAGTTGGTTGAATGAGACCTTCATTCTCAGACGTCAATTTTGTGTTTAGAGCCGTATAAGGTATGAATAATGAAGACATACTGGTGTCAATAGTATAGCTGATCTCAACGCCCATATGAAAGTCTAGGCTGAGGCCAGCCTCGGAATCCCGATCAGTTCAAAAATGAGTTTATTCGAGCTCGAATTTTCGACAAGAGCTCTTCCGAAGAAGAGAGTTATAATGGGAGAATGAAATGGTAACTAGACTCGCCTGACATCTTCCCAGAAATTCGTCGGCTCCGAACTGGTCATAATCGAACAGCTCAACCATGACGGGTGGTGGATGGCGTTCTATCAACGCTGGAGTGCCATAGAGTTCAATTAAATCGAAAATGAGGGTTTGATCCCAGGTAGGACAAAGGGTAGCTTCCAGGCGTTCCGTTTGTTGCGACAGATACTGAAATGCAACGCGGGTGTATGGGTCGGACAGACCAGTTTGGTCTGCGGCAAGTAGACCTCGGGCTTGGAATAAATAACATCGCAAGTGCCACTTGTGCGAGTCTAGCAGAAAATTGGTGGTAAGTGTAAATGGATTAGATGATTTGGACATTTTTGTTTATCTCGATGAATTACAGACACATGAAATAGACCAATTTTATCTCATTCCCAATGTAAGAAACACTATCCGAGGCAATTTCCTAAACTAAAGCAGGAAGCTTAACATAAACTGAGGGAGTAGTTCACATCAGAAGTAAATCTGTATTATATCAAGAGAAATAAACAGGCTTTGCAAATGCAAGTGGGTATGGAAATAATCCTTCTTTAATCCGTAATGTTCGTTGCTGCCCAAATAATTGTGATGATGAAAGTATTATTTTATATCCTCTGGGT